AAAATTAAATAAACAAATATGCGTTAGGTGGAGAAGGTCACCCTAAAAAGTAAAAGAATTTTATAGGTCCAGCTTCCCAGAAGAGTCATCTCAGTCAAGAGCTCCTCATAAAGCAGTTCATGGCACCAGAACACTGAGAGCCAGCATAGTGTTTATTCCGTGGGGTTGGTTGGACAAGCTTTCTGTGAAGATGAGCCGCATTGAAAACTTGGGTCTCTTCTGCTTGAATCAGATTGCTGTTTAATTTTGGCTTCTAATTTGGTGTCACTGTTTTTAAAAGGGCAAGCCACCACCCTTTCTAAAATCTTTTTTCATTCATCATTCTACACGGTTGGGTTGGGTTGTATGAATAAGACTAGGACACAGTAGATCTTAGAGTTTCAGAACAACATAGCCGTCTCTCCTATCTCCAAATTGCAAAGGACTTGTAAGAGAAAACTTACCTGAAATGTCTTTTGACATAGTGCTTAAAGGGGTTTGCCAGATGGAGGCTTTTGTTCCCGTTACTACTTCCTTACAGGCAAATGCAGAAATGGAAAAGGAACCTCAACATTATTTTCAGGACATAAATGTTAGCCTAATAATTGTTGTTGTTAGCTGCCATCAAATCAATTCTAACTCATGTGACTCCATGTGTGCAGAGTAGAACTGCTCCAAAGGGTTTTCAAGGCTGTGATCTTTCAGAAGCAGATCACCAGGCCTGTCTTCCAAGGTACCTCTGGGTGGGTTCGAACCGCCAACCTTTCAGCTTGTAGTCGAGCACTTAACTATTTGCACCACCTAATTAGCTCTACGAATTATTGAGCTTTTTGTTTTCAATTCTCTTCTCAAAATACCAAGTCCCAAATTGTTAAAGCATTCAGTGATGCAGTATTGATTTCAGGCATCTAGTCATCTTCAGGAACAGTTTTTGTATTTTTATCCCCGCGAAGTGCGACCATTATTCAATAGCAACTAATCCGTCTTTGGGGAGGACAAAGAAAAGGTTTTATTATTCAGCCTTGAGCAATATATGAACAAAAAAAAGTTCACTATGTAATAGCTGACTGAGATTTACACAAGACTATTGGATAGGTCCGATTCCCTTCCATTAGGTATGAATCCCACGTCCGTCTCCTCCATGTCCTCACGTGCGTTGTTCACATTTGTTATCCATGATAAGGGGGAAATGTCACAGTGTCCACTTGATGCGTTTTGTGAGTCATTAACTCAGATTTCTCCATTCTAAATTTTCTTGAACAAAAGTTTTCTGTACATTGGCAGCTGAGTGAGACCTTAGCCAGAATACTTTTTATTAATTATTTAATGCCGTTAACTGCTGAATTAAAATTTTTGCAAATGGGCTTTTCCCGTGTTATAAGATGGATTCATTCTTGGCTCCGAACCCAATCCTGTAGACGCGTAGCAGTGCAGGCTTCCCGGTGGCTGTAACCTGAAGATTTCATTTAAACTATCCTTTGAATCTGCAGTAATTTGCTGTCAGAGAGGAATAGGATCTTTATCAACAGAGGGCTGCCAGAACCCCAATGGCTTCTTGAGTAGCTGCAATAGATGAATAATGTCACAATCAATCTTGCGTTTGAGTTTCCAATCAAAAGGTTTTGCAGCTAATGCCAGTGGGGTTCCATATGCATGTGTTCATCCCAGAGTGCAGTGGATGCCATCTGACTTGCATTACTTTTCTTGAGAGGATCGTTTTTACAGACTGGAATCAGAAAAGCAGTCAAAGTAATTGCAAGTGGCAATCAGTGAAATATAACAATTTAGCTTGGGAGCACATGTTTCATTATAAGACAAATATTCTTTTTTTTTTTTTTTGTCTCTTAATTCCACGACTCATATTTTCCTAGGACTAGAAGGGACCATGCAGAGGTTCTAGCGCTACCTCCCATATCACATCAATATCCCCATGAAGCGCTTGTTCTCCTCTGTTACTGCTACCCATTGCCATCGAGTCAAATCCAACTCATGGCGACCCTATAGGGTGGAGAAGAACTGTCCCGTTGGGTTTCCAGGGCTGTAATCTTTACAGAAGCAGACTGTTCCCTTCCAGGGATAGGCAACTCATTACTTCCCAAGGAAACCTGTTCCCTTTTTTATTTTGATAATTTGAAAATGCCTTATATGGAGATGAAATTCATCTCTCTGTACTTATGTCCTTCAGAATTGAAGACCTGGGTCTCAAGTTTATTTTCTTTTGCACTTGGCTGGTAAACAAAAGTTTGGTAGTTCATACCCACCCAGCAGCACCATGGAAGAGAAGACTTGGTGATCTGCTCCTGTAAAGATTACTACTAAGAAAACCCTATCGAACAGTTCTACTCTGTAACATAGGGGGTCAACAAGAGTCAGAATCTATTCAACAGCACAAGACAACAACAACAATTATGGAGTTTTTGTTTTCTTTAGATTCTCATGGACAACTCTCTTCCTCAATCCCTGCCTTTTTTGTTTTCAGATTGTCATATGGAATAGTTTCCATATCTCATATGGAGTAGTTTTGATTTTCTGAATCACTCTCTCCTTAGAAACTCAAACTTACCTATATCCATTTTAAAGGCAGCATGGTGAAAATTAAACTTGCAATCAGACAGACTATCTGAGTTAAATTACAGCTATACCCAAAATTTCAAATTCTCAACGGAATCCAGACTTTCAGAAGCCATTGAAGCTGGATGAACCCTTGAAACTGTTGCTCTGAGATAATCTTTAAACTTTAAACCTTAAACAAAAACTCTCCCCTGAAGTCTTCTTTGAACCAAAAAATAGCTTATCTTTACTAGTAAAGTACGTCTGCTCTGAGCATTGTGCTCTTTCAAAGAATTATCTGTGTGAGACCAAATTGACAACAGCAACTTGAAAGGTTGAATGGGGAGCTTAGGGAGCAATGTGTTTAAGATAATGGTGCTGGAATAATTTGGAAAAGGATAGTGAGAATGGGAGTACAACTTGAAGAACATATTCAATGTCAGTGAATTGTACATGTAGAAATTGGTGCAATGATGTATCTTTGGCTGCCTGTACTTTCACCAAAAAAATTTTTTCAATTAAAAAAATTACATTTCTACCACATATTAATTGTTGGAACTAGGGCAAATTATTTACTCTCTTAGTCATTAAGGATTGCAGAGGTGAACAAAAGAGACATGGTCTAGTGGTGGAAAAAGGCAATAAGCAAGATAACCAATATACGTAGTAATTACCACCCGTGATAAATGGTATGAAGGGTTTAGAAGGGAGTTTTGAGGCCCTGGGGCACTCAAGGGCTGCCTTTCTGTGAAGGAGCCTGGATGTTTTCGTTGGGAAGGAGACAGTGCATGTGCTAGAATGTGAGATGGCGCTAAAGTAAGAGAACTAGGTTTTCTAATAACTGAAGCTGGCCAGTGTGGCTAGAGTTAGAGAGGAGGTGAGTGGAATCAGATGAGTCTGGAGAGGTGCCGAGCTTTGTACGTCATGTTGAGGGTTTGGATTTTACAGTGAATGTAATGAGAAGCCATTTGGGTTTGAAGAAGAGAAGTTACAACATCTGAAACACATCTTTAAAAATTGTTCTCATGCTGGTTGGAGAACAGACTGGGAAGGGCTAAAACAGAAGAGGGACAACCAATTGGAGGCAGTTGCCCTAATCCAGGGAGAGGTTCACGTGATGCATACAACAGCATGGTCAGGTTTAAACGAGAAACAATACAGAGCTTAAGATGCAATCATGGCAACCAGACCACCTGTGCTCACACGCAACTCTGCCATCTTGGTCATGTTTTCTTTTAATCTCCGTGCACCTCAGTTTCCCTCTTTGTGAAATGAAGATCTTGACAGAGCTTATTTCATAGGATTGTTGTTAGGATAAAATGAGTTTATATATCGCGCACTTAAAACAGTGCCTGGCCTCAGTAAATGCTTTCTGTAATGTTAACTTTCATTATATCATTCTTATTATACAGAGAAGTGCCTCGTAGATTGTCAGTTGCACTTCACATTTGATGTACTATTGAACTGGTTCTAACTGGCACAAAGCAGAGCAGAGATGTCACCGCTTGGTGCTGCAAACTTTCTAGGTCTTTCAGCAACCCCTCAGAGCCCATTTCTGTTTTTGAGGCAGCAACATTGTCCTGTTAAGTGATGTTGGGTTCCCTGTTAGCTGAATCTGCAAAGAATTTTTCAGTATTATGACATGCTTCACCCTATATTGCATTTTCAGGCTCAGGCATTTCCTGATTTCATTTGGTTTTTGTGTGAGGATGGAGAAGAGCATGGAGGAGGAATGTGACCACATTGCTTGTCCTCTTTGCAAACTGTTTTGCTGGTGCAATGGAGAAAACAAAGTGTCAGAGAAAAGGCATCACGTGGATCATCAGTTGTGTTTTTCTTTCTTTGGTAGTCCACCTTGTCATCTTATAAAGACCCAACACCTTGAACATTCATTTCTTTAACGTGATGGTCTTGCTAAGACCTGTTTTTAATCTTGTTTGGTGTATAAGGAGGGACCAGTCCCTGGTAAAGGACATCATGCTTGGTATAGGGTCAGCAAAAAAGAGGAAGACCCTCGACATGGTGGACTGATACAGTGGCTGCAACAGTAGGCTCAAACATTGTGAGGATTGTGAGGATGGTGCATGGCCTGGCAGTGTTTCGTTCTGTTGTATGTAGGATCGCTGTGAGTTGGAATTGACTTGATGGCACCCAGCAACAACAACACTAAACTAAAGGTTGGCAATTGGAACCCACCCAGCCATCTGAAAGGCCTGGCAATCTTCTTCGTAAAGATTACAGCCAAGAAAACTCTATGAAGAAGTTCTGCTCTGTAACACATGGGGTCGCCACGGGTTGTAATCAACTTGACTGCAGTGGGTTTTAATCTTGTTTAAAACCTACACTTTAATATACTGTGGCTTCTCCTAGCCACAAATCGGAGTAATAACATAACACTGCCATCAGGCCTCACCTCATGCTGCTGTGCCTTATACATTGACCTTGTCGAATAACCGCTCCTTGTTTTGCAGGCATCCCGGGAAGTGACTATGTGAATGCGAACTACATAGATGGCTACAGGAAACAAAACGCCTATATTGCAACACAGGGATCACTCCCTGAAACGTTTGGGGACTTTTGGAGAATGATATGGGAGCAACGGAGTGCCACAGTTGTTATGATGACAAAACTAGAGGAACGATCGAGGGTGAGAATAAGCATCCATCTCCTCCCCTTTGAAAGCTCCTCTCAGTCGCTAGGTTGCATATTTTGTTCTGTTCAGAATTTAACTTTCTAACAGACATTAATTATGAATTAGTAACTCTGATAAAACCACTCCTTACAACTCTTCTGGGTCTTTCAAAGAGGAAATTCTCTCATGATATGATGTGTGTGATTTCTAAAGGAAAAAAAAAGTATTCGAGGAAGTAGACTACTGGGTTAGAGAAAATGAATATTAGCTTGAACATCTCTCTAAAACTCACATTGAACGAGAACATGCAGGCTTTGGAGAGAACACCTCCAATATATGTTGTCGCTGTCAGTTGCCATAGAGTTGGCGCCGACTTACGGCGACCTTATATATAACAGAACGAAATGTTGCCTGGTCCTGTGCCATCCTCACAATCATTGGTATGCTCAAGTCCATTGTTGTGGCCACGGGGTATTTTGATGCCTTCCAACCTAGAGGGCTCATCTTCTAGCACTATATCTGACAATATTCTGTTGTGACCCATAGGGTTTTCGTTGGCTGATTTTTCAGAAGGAGGTCTTCAGGCCTTTCTTCCTAGTCAGTTTAGTCTGGAAGCTCTGCTAAAGTCTGTCCACCATGGGTGACCCTGCTGGGGTTTGAAATATCAGTGATATAGCCTCCTGCATCACAGCAATACACAAGGCATCACAGTATGACAAACTGACAGACAGATGGTGGCACCAATATATACTCCCCAGTATTTTCAACTTTTTCTTTCTTTTATAACCCTGAATGTAAAATCTAAAATTCTGGGAAAGAGGCTCTTATTCAAATGAGCATAAATTAAATCAGGGCAGCCAGAAAAATGATGTGGGTTAATACATAGCTTAGAAAACACGTAAATGTGAAGAGGGCATTTTGCTAGTTTAGACTTTTCCAAGATGAATAGATTTTAATAATGGAATCATTGCTTATAATATTATGGGAAATTAAATGATGAGTGTTATTCATCATATGGGTCCAATATTACGGTGCATTATATGTTACTTAAATGCTGTTGATTTGGAAAACTAAAACATAATGGGTAAACAGTATGCCTTTTCCCAAGTCAGTGTGCAAATATTCTAGCCATCTAATGAAAGTCGGTCTTCAACCTGGAGAATTTAACCAAGGAGTTTCTGAAAAGTCACTGAGAACAGCACACACTCTCACTGAAGAGTGGTTCATTTAGGGTAGAGCCTGAAGCCACAGGTAAGAGGTCCCTTTCATTGTGGTCACAGTGGTCTCAAAAAGGATATTTAGAAGGAAGCTGAGGGCCAGTTCCCCCTTAACTGTGCAGCAGTTGAGGTTCTGTAAATGTTCTTCTAAGCTAAACCGATGGTGGTGTCTCTCAGCACACCTGTGCATATGAGGAGCTAGTTCAAGACTGCTTATGAAAGAAAAGCTTGGACACTGGACAAAGTAAAAAAGCCACATCTGTGAAGGTGAGAAATCCAACAGTATGGTACACACCTGGTTAGCAAACCTAAAAAGCAATCAGACCTTTTCAAAACATCTGAATTCTGCAGAGAAGTTAGACTATTGTCTGAAACGAATTTAGACCAAAGCCGTTATGACTGTGAAGATGAATACCTATTTCATACTTTACATACAAACCTCACTCAAAAACTCATAGTGACCCAGAGTAGAACTGCTCCATAGGGTTTCCAAGGAGCTCCTGGTGGATTCAAACTGCCGACCTTTTGGTTAGCAGTCTTAGTTTTTAACCACTATGCCACCAGGGTTTCCAAAAGATGTAAAAAGATCCAGTATTGATTGGTACTCAGGGTAACCCCTATATAGCAAGCACGTTCTTTAAAAACAGCCCCCACCCAAATGATACTTGAGTATGTTGTTGTTAGTTGCTATGGAGGTAGCTCCAGCTCATGGCGACCGTCTGTGTAACAGAATGAAACGTTGCCTGGTATTGTGCCATCTTCATGATCATTGGGATGTGGGGGTCTGTTGCTGTGGCTGTTGTGTCAGTTCATCTCATTGACATTTTCCTTGTTTCCACAGACACTCTACCAAACGTGATACCCTTTGCTAGCCATGTGTCTTTTTTGATGACATATCAAAATAAGCAAGACCAAGTTGATGTTTGAGTATACCAAAACCAAACCCAGTGTCATCGAGTCCTTTCCAATGCATAGCGACCCTATAGGACAGAGTAGAGCTGCCCCACAGGGTTTCCAGGGAGCGGCTAGTAGATTCAAACTGCTCACCTTTTGGTTAGCAGCCAAATGCTTAAGCACTGCACCACCAGGGCCCTGATCTTCGAGTATAATGGTTAATTATAGCAATGTCTAACACACGCCACCAGGACTCCTTTAACATGTATTAGATCCATTTATATTTCATAACAGCCCTGGGAGATAAACACTACTATGATATTTGACATATGAGTAAACTAAGGCCTAGCAAATTACGGAAGGTCACCCAAGGACATTCAACTACCAAGGTCAGAGATGAGTCTTGAAGACAGACAGTCTGACTTCAGAACATGCCCAGCAGCCCATACTGCCCACGAACGCATCTGCGAGGCTGAGACAGCTGAATAGTTATATTGGAGCATGCATGTAAATCCAGCCTACCAGGGCTTCTCTGCCAGCAGATACCTGCCGGTAACAAGCAATCATTTGCAAAAGCTGTTTTCAGAAAAACACACATTTTATCTTGCCACTGCAGGCCTTCATTAAACCATGCACAGAAACTTGTTTTGAAATAACCAAATGAAATTCTGCCCCTTTTCTCCCTAATTGCTTCTAATAATAAAGCTTGTTCTAACTGGCCCCACTGCCACTGCAGCATCTGATGGTAATGAGCAGTCTTTGGCGGAAGGCGCTGTGACTTAAATACCTACAGTTTATCTTTATGTTGCAGGCTGCCTCCCCACTACCCCGTCAGACAGAGGAACTTACTTGGAAGTTACTAAATGAACCTCTGCTGGCTCCCTTCATTAATTACTCTTTGCTCTTGCAAGTTAGCTTTCTCCTTTGTTATATGGCCTAAGGAGGCCAATTAAAATGCCGTCTTGTGGTTTTTATTCTCTGGCGGTTCAGCTTGTCCCCAAACTTGCGATGACCTGTACAAGCCACTAGGCAGTTCACCAGTCTCAGTCATCATCATCCTGACGATATAAATGAATTGCAATCAGCAGGGGAGTCCTCACCCTCAAGCCCAAAAGCCTTTTGCTCTCCAGTCTAGAGAACTTGGGAATAAATGACCTAGTACAATGGAGAGAGTGAGATTGAGGGCAGTGGTGATTCGGTGATAGAATTCTGCCTCCCATGTAGGAGACCTGGGTTTGATTCCCAGCCAATGCTCCTCAAGTGCAGCCATCAGTATCTGTTTGGATGCTGAATAGATTTCAGTGGAGCTTCCAGACTAAGATGGACTAGGATCAAAAATCAGCTAATGAAAACCCACTGGATCACAGTGACCTGATCCCATTGTGCATGGGGTCGCCATGTATTGGGACAGACTCTATGCCAGCTAGTAACAACAGTGGAGAGGTTTAACCAATCAGTGGTGTCCGAAGTATCTCACCTGCTCGTCCACCTACCTCTGTCATAGTCTCGCACCTCACTCCTTCCCTATCCAGTTGCTCGTTCACCTAAAGGAGTAGGGAGAAAGAGGAAGCTTCCTGGATTCTCAAACTAGAACCTGGATTGAATTTCTCTATATAAACAATGTCATAAATAGTGGTTAGATGTTACTAAACTAATAGCTTCATACTTCAGGAACATTTTGGGTTCTGTGGGCTGACCTGCGGACTCAATGAGTTCTCAATTCCCAGCAGCCGCCTTCAAAACAGACATTTGAACTAGCCTGGCTCTACTTGGGAATTGCCTGTAGTCTCCCTTATAAAGGGAAGTGGTCCAGGTGGTTTAACCAAACCACCTCTCCAGGGGATGTAGCCTGAAGTTTCATTATTTAATTAAAGGCTCAGGTTCTTGAAATAATATTTATCACTTTGGTACATGAGGAAAAGCGTGTGTGTGTGTGTATGTGTGTGTGTGTGTGTGTGTACGCACTTCTGAGTATTAGAAGTATTTGAGAATAGCTGTTGATTATAGATCAGAGAAAAGAGAAGAAAAGGAAAGATAGCATGATTGTGCACAAATCTGTGTGGGTTTCACCTCAGAGAGAAGGGAAAATACATGACAGTCAAAATGTCTGGGTTCCAGTCCGAACTCTAGCATTTACTAGCTATGTGACAATGAGCAAATGACGTTTAAAAAAAAGTCTCATTTCTCCTCTTTGGGTTATTTGGAAGGGTTATTGTGGGCATTAAGTGAAGTAGGGAACGTAGCAAGGTGGCTCCATGCATCTCAACTATTCTCATTTAGTAGAGAGACTGGCAACTTTACCCTTTACAACGTTAGTTCCTCCTAAAACTCGTCTCCAAATAATCCGATTATTGTTCCCAGATGAAATGAGTTTGCTTTGTGGTTGGCAGTGAATCCTGACCAATCTTGCACCTGGTTGACTCTGCCTGTGGTGCCCAGTGTAGCACACCCCTGCATTCTGGTCTAGAGGAGCATGTAGCTGAGAACATGGGATTCTTTTGCGTTTGCTTTCCTGAACGGAAGCTCTGGTGCAGGGGACTGGCTCATAGGTCTGCAAACAGACCAAAATAGAACATTCTTGCTGCTGCTTTCACTGCAACCATTTCTTGAAGCAATGCAATGCGAAAATAGCGAGAACATAGACATGGGTACATGTAGTGATAATTGTCACTAAAAGATAATATATTCTTGGCACCCATTTCCTTTTTGGTTCAGGTTTTCACCCCTTCTTGTCTCCATCCTTATTTATTTTGTGATGCTAGGAGGTTCTCCCCCAGAACCCATCTCCTCTGTTCTCAAGCTTTCTGTTTTGCCTCGGTCTGGGTCAATTCATGTTATCACTCAGGCTAGTGGTTTATTAGCAAGGGCTTGTAACCTTTGGAGTCCCTGGGTGGTGCAAACAGT